TGGGGAACGGATATCTCCTTTCCTCCTTGAGAGAGGCCCTGATGCTAGTGCTACAGCTATATATCATAGGAGGTTGGTGGGCATTAACGTAGAAGACAAAATAAAAGAAAAAAGAGAAAGTGTTGAATGGCAAGATGAAGAGGATGGGTGTGGCCCCAGATCCCCAGCCTACCCATGACAGGCCTGGAATTCAACAAGATAGATGAAGTTGGAAGTGAAACACTGGAACTTTCTGAAATGATAACAATAAAAGTAAAAAAAACAAAACAAAACAAAAAAACGAGTGAAAAGGCTATAAAAGGAGAATGATCTTTCCGGTATGAAAAGAAATGATGCTTAAAAATCAAAGATATTAGAGAAGACACAAAAGAATAGATGAGAATTTCAGATCTTGAAGACAGAATTGCAGCTAATGATCATGAAAAGAAAATATCTTAAAAATAGCAAGAGACCATGAGAAATCAATCCAACAGCTACAAAATGAAGCAATGAAGCAACGAAGAACACAAGATTGATTGGGGTCAATGAGAAACCTGAACATAGCACAAACGCTGTAACAATCAAATATCTATACACCTAATACAGGAACATCCAAGTATATAAGACAGATATTGGTAGACATGGAAAATCAAATAAGCAACAATATAATTGTAACAGGAGACCTCAATATCCCATGTCATAGAGAGACAAATCAACTAGACAGAAAATCAGCAAAGATATACCAGAACTAAACCAAATCTGTGAGCAAACAGACTTGATACTAAGAAGCCATACCCCAAGGTCCCATGCCAGCAGCCAGGAAAAATCAGGCAAGGCCAGCATGACCTGAAAAGAAGCCATGCCCTGAGGCCCTGCTATCACTGGAGGAGTTTCTGTAAACCATCATCCTGTGTCCTCTACCACTCTGGATATCCCAGATTGGAGGAACCCAGATTCCTAGTCCTATCCCCTGCACCAAGGAACTGGCAGCAAATGCAGAAAGCACTGGGATGCAGCAATGGACTGATTCAGAAAAACACAGGAAAATATCAAGACAAAGGAGCTAACTCAATCTCAGACCTCTAGTTCACTCAGAACAAGTTCAGGAGACATAGACATAGTAAAACTTAGAAGTCACACATCTGAATTTCTGAAAAGATAACAGAAGTAAAGAAGCAACTTAAATTCTTGTATTGACTGATTAATTCTACATGCCTATATCTGATAGTCTGGATAGCTATTCTGAAGATAACAAGCCACTGTTAATTTCTTATTACCTTGTTTTGAAGTCCTGTGTCATTTTCACTGCTTTATTTTCTTTGATTTTATTCCGTTTTTTTTTTTTTAAATTTTATTATGTCTGATGGTATGGGCAGCTATTTTGAAGATAACAAGAAGCATTATGGTAGCCATTGTTAATTTCCTATTATCTTGTTTTGAAGTCCTGTATCACTTTCATTGTTTTGTTTGATTCACTTTATTGTTTTATTTTGTTTGGTTTTATTCTCTTTAAAATACAAAATAAATAGGGACTGGGGATTTAGCTCAGTGGCATAAGTGCCTGCTTTGCAAGCCTGTGGTCGTGAGTTCGATCCCTGGTACCGGTAAAAAATACAATACAAAAACAAAAAAACAAAAAAAACCAAAAAACAAAATAAATACATTTTTTAAAAAACCTACACACTGGGAAAAAATTTTGCCAGCTACTCCTCTTACAAAGGATTAATATCTAGAATATATAAAGAATTCAAAAAATTAGACCCCCTCCCTCCATTTGAAGATCCAATTTAAAAAGTGGGCAACTGAAATTAATAGACATTTCTCAGATGAAGAGGTAAATCTGGCCAATAAATACATGAAGAAATGTTCAGCATCACTGGCCATTCAAGAAATTGCAATTTAAAACAAAACTGAGATTCTCCAGGAAGAATGGCTATTGTCACAAAACCAGTATTAACAAAGGCTGAGGGTAGAAACCCTTCTCTTCACTGTTGGTGGGAGTGTAAAATGATACAAACACTATGACAATCCTCAAAAAAAGTACAAATAGAAACTTCATCTGACCTAGCCATTCTCTTCCTAGGTATTGCCCCCAAAAAGGTAAAGACACCATACTAGAGTGAAACAAACATATGTTCATAGCAGCATAATTCATAAAATGTAAATCTTAGAAATAGTCTATATGTCCATGAATAAATGGATAAATAAAATGTGGTATTTGTACACTATGAAGTACCACTCTGCCATAAAGAAGGATGAAGACCATAATGTTACATGAAGTAAATCAGACACACAAGCTTAAATATCAGTTTCTCAATGTATAAAGTACAAAATAAAAAAATAAGATAAAAATTATTATAATCCTGCATGCAAAGATATCTAAAAGTGTACCTTGATTCAGTGTAGCTGTCTATACGTTTTACACATTTTTGGCTTGTTATCTGACTGTTAATCTGTTTTTATGATGATTAACTTTATTTACAATACAAATAAATAATATAAATATAAATAAATTTCATGCTGGCAAAAAAACTGCCATTTTTCATCAGACCTTGTAGAAAGAAATTGCTATTTTTTAATCTCATTCACAAGAACAAGAAATACTATTAAACATCTCCAAATAAAGTAAAAGTTTAAGGTCTACATAAATAAAACAAACTTTATATTTAAAAATTTGATTAAATGAAGAGAGTTACATTTTCCAGTAGGAAGACTTTTCATAAATATGTACATTCTTCCCCAAAGTAATTTAGGGACAAACAGATATCATACTTAAACGACACTCAAATATTTCAAGAAATAAAACAAAATATGTATGTAGGTAGAAAGAAATTTATTCTAATAAAACACCTATATGCATTGCTTGATAAAGAAAAAACCCTTAACAGCTATCAACAGAATTATTACCCAAATTAGGGTATAGCTACTAAATAAAACATGACATAACCACACAAAATCAGACAAATCCAATCTTTTTTTGGAAGGGGAAGGGGAAAGTATGATTTAATGTAGTGGCAAAAAATGATAATCAGACAATGTGATAAACTTTAGATTTAATACTATGTGTGAGAGACAGAAGGGGAAAGGGGCTTGACTCAGTGATGACAAAATATAGCAAGATTCTTGAGTCAGAGTGGATTCAAATATCTGGCTGTCCCACCCAACTGTTAACCTTGTCATGCTGTGCCAGTTAATTTAGAACCCCTTTGTACTTAAGATTTCTTTATCCAAATCATAAATGTAGCGTCAAATCTCACAGTAGAAATTACATAAACAAATCTACTCATGTGGAAAGAAGTCCATGTAATAAAGACTTGTTAAGTATTTGCTATTAATTACTAAACAACTTCTCAAAGTCAAGTGTAGAGGTGTTCAGGAGAAAAAACTAACATATAGAGAGATGCTGTCACGAAAAAAATATGGAATTTCTTAGTGAAGGGACAGTCAGGGCACAAATAATTTAGAATAGGAAAATCTGTAAAAATATCTGGAAATCTGGAATATGGAATAACTGAAATATTTCATAAAGAATTTGACATGGGTCATTATATATGCACATTATTTAACTAGGAGAAGGAAAGTTACTATGATTTGGATAGGATCTGAGCATGGCCCCAATGGTTCATATGTGAGGTTGGCAAGATGGTGTGGAACCCTTAAGAGGTGCAGCTTAGTAGGAAATAATTAGGTTACTAAGGATAGTGCCCTCAAAAGGAAATGACACAATTCTTATGGAAGTCTGGCTAGTTTTCAAGAGATGACCTTATAAAAGATCAAGCTTATTCCCCAAGTCACTCTTTGGCTTCCTATATCACCACGTGTTGTGTCCCTCTTGCTCATGTCCTAGCAATGGTCCAGAGGCAGTAGTCACAGGGATCCTCACCAAAGAATACATCATGCTATTTAGACTTTCAGTCTCCAAAAGAGTAAACTAAACAAACTTCTCTCTATCCATTACCCAAGAGGAACAACATGACTAAGCAGAATAGTTATGCCGCTGGTATGAGAAGGAGTTGGAAGGAAAAGCAAATACATGTAAAAGCTTATTAGTGGTTAAAATATATAGTGACAAGGTCTGATTCAGAATGTAAAGAATACAGAGATACATCAATGGAAGAGTGAGAGAGAAGAGGAAAATCATCCAAGTTGGACAATGACCAGATATTAAAAATGAGGGAATGGAACAGTCTCAACAACATGCTAAGTGATAAGCCACTAAAAGGAAAAGTCAAATCCAAGTGTCTGGAAACCAAAATGAATGAATGCTTTTATTGGGGCTTAAAAGCTGGCAATCAGAGTTAGATAAGGACCCCTACCAATTTGAGATCCTGCTGAAATGTTCAGGTATCAAGTTCTAGTAACCATGTGGCAACATGAATCTAGTGCTTGGGAAAATGGTAAGAACTAGAAACAAAAATTTTAGAATAAAAAAATATCTTTAGAATGTTCTAGGGCAGATAAAAACTAGATTATGTGCTATTTCAGAACAGTGCTCACACTTTATTTAACCACAACACAAAATGACATGAAAGTTGGCATGTACTGGATCCTTTAAGGATATAAAAATAAATGACAAAATTGAACTTTAGGGATTACTGGTTTCCAGCAGTAGAAGGAAAAAGAAACAAGAGAAGATGGCAAAGAAAGTTATAGTGAAAAATAACAGTACTACATTACAGATTAAAAGTATAGCAAACTATCAAATACATATATGTCACAGTCAGTTTACACCAAAAGGCACAATGCAGAGAAAAGTGACTTCTTTGAAGAATAAATTAGGAGATTTTAACTTCTTTTTTACAGAATTCTACCTACATATATAACGCATAGCAGTGGTATCAAAAGTATTAATCATCAGTATATTTATCTCTCTAAAATATACAACTAGAAATAAAGTCACAACAGTAGTTTAGTTGAACAAAAATGAACGTAACAGATGAAACTGAAAGCAAAAAGAAGCAACTAAAACAAATCATTTAATTAAGAAAACAACAATAAACAGGAAATACCAGAAGTTTCACCTTAAATCTCTTGTCTTGCAATACTTTCTTGATAGCAACCAGTTCTCCTGAATCACAGAGCTTGGCTTGATATACCACACCAAATGATCCATTTCCGATCACTTTAGTGTCTGTGTAGCTGACTTCTTGTGGCCTGTCTGGACCCTGCCCAGGAGTTGCCACCACTGTGGTCACCTTGCTGCCATCTTTGTCTCCTAAAGAAAAGAAGGGATTGAAAAAATGAAAATGAGACCTGTATAAAACCATACTAAGAAAAATGTCAAGTACACAAAATAAGCTACTTATACTGTAAATTATTTTAAATGCTCCTCTCAATTTATCATATAGAATATTGTAATTATCTGTTTAAATTATAAGGAATTTTAACAACCATTTATTATTCAATTATCTCATAAATTATTTAACATACTTAGTTTATATATGACATCATTCACTCAAAACACACCATAAAGAAGCTATACCAGGGATGGCAGACCATTTAGAGCTTTCAATGATACAGATGGCCTGCTGCAGCATGTATGCCACAGGTTTATCACCACTGAGCTATACAGTACTATTCTACACTAGAAGTTATACAGAAAATGTTAAATCTGCCTAAGACCAAATCACAAACAGTGGATCAGTCAGGGTTTGCCCTTATATGTAATTCTAAAGGTCCTAGTTCTTTCACCAAAAAGCTTCATTATATTTGAAAATAAAATGGGCATAATAGTGATTTCTAAATATACCAACTCTATTTAAATCATTCTGTATTTACAAAAGGTTTTTAATTTTTGCTTCTTTTTTTAACAATAAAATGTATTTATTTTTACTTTCAAATAATAGAATAAAACTTTACTTTCAAATAATAGAATAAAACTGATACAGAATTTCAAAACAAAATAATAGAGGATAGGTTACTATGTTGTGTATTGCTATCTTCAAACTTGCTGTTCAGATCACAAGATATAGGCATAAAAAATGATCAAACTATCAAACAATGGAAGCACAACTGTTCTTTTTGATGAACTAACAGATACAAGTTATCTATCTTGTACTAACAGTACAAGTTATCTATCTTGCCACCACTATGGTCACCTTGCTGCCATCTTTGTTCTCTTAAAGGAAAGAAGCAATTGAAAAAATGAATATACGAATATATATAGACATATACTCTTTCCCCTTCTTTGTTTTCTCCTTTCCCCATCCCAGTTGTTCTTTCCTTTTGAGCACTTTCTTTTCTTTTCTTTTCTTTTTATCTTTTTGAGACAGGGTCTCACTATGCAGTATAGGCTGGCCTTAAACTCGTAGCCCAGACTACTCTCAAACTTGCAACAGTCCTCCTGCTTCAGCCCCTCAAATGCTGGGATTACAGGCATGTGCCCCCATGTCCGACTTTGAGCAGTTTCTTTCCCTTTCCCAATATATCTACTATACACTTTGGCTCCTATTTACTCTCAGTTTTTTCATTAGAAAGACAATACAGTATTTACAAAAGCTACGGAATGCTTCACAAACTAGCATCATTCTTACTCAGAGGCCATTCTAACATTTTCTGTATCGTCCCAATTTTAGCACATGCTGCTGAAATGAGCATCTTACTTTGTTTCTTTTTAACAAATTAGTAATAGTCTCTCAGAGAACATTCTGATGTGGAAAACAATGCTAAACTAAAATTTAGAGGTTAGCTGGGCATGGTGGTGAATGCCTGTAATCCAAGCACTTGGGAGGCTGAGGCAGGATGATCTCTGGGATTATGAGACCAGCCTGGGCTACAAAGTGAGCTCAAGGCCAGCCCGAACTGGATTAGATCCTCTTGGATCTCTTCATTTAGCATTTAAGCATTGGAAATACAGCTCAGTGACATAGCTCCTTTGTGGCAAGTGCAGTGAATGAGCATGATGAGATCCTGTCTCAAAAAGACCAATAAAACAAAACAACTTAGGGTTAACAAGTATAGAACTTTTAAAATCAACCCCACACTGAATTGAGCTCCATTTACAAGTAGCTTACTTTATTAGTCCTCTCAGTCTCTCCTTCACCTTGCTTGCCTTTTTTCAACAATCCAAAAGCTCTCTTCAACACAAACTGAAGAGCCATCTGGACTAGGCACAGTCCACAATCATTTTGTTTCTAAATTCTTAAAACTATCCTGAACTGCACTAGACTACTTAACACCTGATTTGAGAAAGCTTTAAATTGTTGTTTTTGTGATTTCAGAATAAACACAGGTTCTACAAACTACAATCATCCTGAAATAGCAATTGTGTATCCTGATGCTTTTTTCTTCCTTGAGAATCTGAAACCAATTCTCAATACAAGTTCTAAAAGTTTACTGACTGAATTGTATTTTTTCCTGCTATTCTTCCACTACATCAATTTTATGTTTAAAACATTAACTGAATTCATACTAACCTAATGAAAGAAAAATAGGTGAATGAGCATAACTGCAAATTTTCAGGTCTGATTACAAACCCTAAGTTATTTTCTTCCTCATTTATGAAATAAACTTTTCCTCTTCTTTTGTATCTTAGCATTCTGTAAGACAGAGTTATAATTTTTTGAATTTAAATGTTAAATTCTTTTTTTCGTTTTTTGTACTGGGGATCAAACTCACAACTTTGCACTTGCCACAAAGGAGCTATGCTACTGAGCTATATTCCCGGTCCCTAAATGCTAAATGAAGAGATCCAGGAGGATCTAATCCAGAAAGATTGAAATCCAATTTTCAATGTATTCTTATACTCCAGTTATCCCAAGGAAGACTAAAAAGTAGATGATTTTAAATGTCTAACTTTCCCATAAGTTATCCAAATTTAAATCACATTTCTCTCTCTCTCTCTCTCTCACACACACACACACACACACACAGAATTAAGGATTGTGAATTAATAATTATACTGGACAGATGCTCACAAAATCTCATTGGCTTAACTCACCAAAAAAAGCATCATTATTACAAACTATTTTAAGAATGGCTACTGTGGCCCATAATTTCAATGGCAAACAAAAACTTTTTGCAATTTAATTAAAAATTATGCTTTTCTACAATACAATGATATTTCAATCAACAACAGACACACAACTTTGTATTTGCTCCTATAAGAGAGAGAATGTAAACAATATAAGCATTTGTGATGACTTTACTCACTTGTCTCCTCAAGGTGGCATTTCTAAAATCGACTTTTTATGTCAAAGGTCTGAGAACAAACTATGGAAGATAGTACATCATAACCCAGAATTCAGCCATCTATCATTCTAACCACTAATCATTGGAAAGTCTATCCCGAACAGTGACTGGAAAAGAAAAAGCACAAAAACAATGCTGCTAAAATAGTAGAAACAGAATAGATCTACTTGAAGATCTCTAAAATTTCAATTTCAAAACGAGTCAAAATGATATTTCTTTGGGCATGGTGGTTCACGCCTATAATCCCAGGACTAGATGAGCAGAGGCAGGAGGATCACTGTGAGTTCCAGATCAGCCTGGGCTAAATAAGCAAATCTAAGGCAGGCCTGCACTATATAGTGAGACACTGTCTCAAACCCAAACAACCACCAAAAACCCTGAGATTTCATGTTGACAGGAACCAATCCTTTTACCCATTTGTACACCTAAGGGGGAAAGTACTTACTGTCTTGGTAGGAATTAACTTTAGGAATTTACTTTATTTTCCCTCCTTTATTTTCTTCCATCTATTTACAGAGATGTCTTATAGGCGATCTTCTCTAATACCAAATGTTAGTTACACAAGGAACAACAGCTCTCAGGCTTTCTACAGACCTCAAACGACCTCAAATTTTTATTCAAAAACTAAACTCTTCAAACTGTTTTACCAAAGATCTGAAATATCAAGAGTTGAAACGAATGGCAAGATAATAACTTGGCATGAATATTACCAGCACTGGCAGATAATAGCTAGTATGTCAGGAAAAAAAAAAAACATGTCACCATTTAGCATTATAATCAGCCATTTAGCAATAAGGTAACTGAAAAAGTCACTGTTGAAAAAGAACTATCACTGTTTCATCTACTTTAACACTTACAGAAAACATAGAAACATATTATTTCTACTGTATAAATGAAGACTAAGAAAGATTAACATATAAAACTTTAAGCAACACTTTATATGCCTCTATTATATTTTACAACTCTCCTACTAATACTGAAAGACTAACTCCATATGCTTTCTCATGCTTCCTTAATAACATAAAACAGTACTAGAAAGGAATTAAGTGAACAACCTTTAAAATTAGGTTTTCAAACCTTCCTAAGCAAAAGCATATGAAAAATTTTAAAACAACTGATTATGAGCCAGCCAAATAATTTAACATTTGCCACTAGAAATTGGATCTTTTTATCCACAATAGAGAAGCACTACTTCCAACAGACCAAAACCCTCATGAAAACCTAGAGACAATAACAAATCTGTCTCATTAAATAAATAACCACTTTGCCCAATTCCAAATTTCCCAAAATACATGGTACAAATGATTCTCACACTATTTGTGACACCAGCCATTATGATAAAATTGGCCTTCAAAAAAAAAAATGCCACTATCTCTCAGATACAATAACAGAGCATAAAAAAGTCAGCTCAGTTCCAGGCTTTCTCTGGTCAGAGAACTGCTGGGAATCACTATTACAATTAGAATCACACGGTACAAATTTCTTTCTAAAATCGTAACACAGAATAATATCCTTTACTCTTTACCCCAATAGAGAAATCCTAAATATATAAATCACAATATACTCCTCAGGAAATAATGGAAAGAACTTTCTATTGAAGACTATTAAATATAGAATAGAATTTTTACAAAAGCCTTAGCAAATTTGGGATTATCTGTGACAATTAATTGTAGTATCAACTTGAATTCATTAAGAAACACCTAGCCAAAAAAGAACGACACCTAGCCAATTAGTGGAGCAGTCTGGGTTTGTCTGGCCCACTGACTTTCAGGCATCAAACTGAAGAGGAAAACCCAGTTGGGATGTGGACGGCATCAACCAATAGGCTTGTTGCTTGGATGCAATAAAAAGGAAAGAAGTATGTCCTTTTTGTTTCCTTAGGAGCTCTAGGCTCTGCTATCACCTTTGGACGTTGGTCTCCAGTTCCTTCAGGCTTCCAACAGACCCTTAGCTTTCCATCACAGACTCACACAGGACTCTGCAGTGAGCTCAGGCCTTCAACTTTTTGACACAATTCTCCAGCTC